TCTATCCGTCTATGGGATGTCAAAACAGGATAATAAAATGCCAAATTAGATGGTCATACTAGTACTGTCTAGTCAGTCTGTTTCTCTCCTGATGGAAATACATTAGCTTCTGGTAGTTATGATTAGTCTATCCGTCTTTGGGATGTCAAAACAGGATAAGAAATTAAATCCTCTGATAAAAACTACAAAGATATTCATTCTTGCATAATTTAAGATTCCACTCTAATAAAATTGTCCATTATAAGAAGGTAATATTAATTGTTTTGATATTTTAAGCCTCCAATTACATCACTAAACTCCTTATATCCTAATAAGCAATATTTTAAGCATAAGGAGCACTAATTTTGAAAGGAGAGTTTATCAATCAATCAGGTATATATTTAAAGACATTGTTTAAACAAAAAGGAAGTTGCTTTTTAGAAGACTTATAGAAAAAGTGATTTTGATCATTATCAAACAAACAAATATATTTCCAAACAATTTCTTCTATTCAGTTTTAATTGTGTCTTTATTAGTATCACTCTTAATCTTCACTTCTAAAGCTAGGTAAATTCTTATTTTTTAAAGATTTATTCTATTTAAGTTATATATACCTTACATTTATTTGTATATTATTAAAATATACGATCAGTTTAGTGTAGGGATTATTTATTAAAATATCATATAACTGTTATCAATTAATATTTCTTGAGATTTATTTTAAATGATACTTCTTTACATTATTAATCTAAACAGAGAATAATAAGAACAATGAAGAGATTAAATAAAAATTGATATAATTTCTTAAAGAATACTTAATTAACACAACTTTCTTTTTATAAAACATCTAGGATATTATATGATAGATTTACTTAATTTAATATTATTGATTATAGGGATTAAGTTTATATTCATAAATCGTAAAAGATATATTTTATCAAAAAGATAAGAAAACAGATACTTCAAGAATTCAAAAATAAAGTTAATCTTATAAATAACCTATCACAAGATAAAAAATGGTGATTGAATGATTTTTCAAAAGTTCTCTCTTCAAAGTAATGCATCATAACCATTTATTATTATTATTATTTGATTGATATTAAAAGTATAATAAATTAAAAAGACTGAAAAGATACTTTAATCATCAAAAAGAAGGATATTATTGAAAGGGTTAAGAAATTATATTTCTCTAACAGCCATCTAATAGTCTTAATTACTTATTAACTTAAGTTCTATGTGAACAACTTTCAACAATAGGAAATTTATAGAATAACTAAATATATAAAAAGAAGAAATTTAATGATTCTATTATTGGGTTCACTTATATATTTATGTTTAGGTTGATGATTACAAAATTATAATTAATTGATTATTCAATAATTCACAATTTTTTAATAACCTTGATAATTAAGGTTTATAAATATTTTTAATCATTTAATAGAAGTTTAATTTTGCAAACATGATTAATTTAATTTTAAGGTTGCTCCATACTTATTATTATATCTAATTTAGAAATTTAATTTTCTTAATTAGCATTCTTTTTTTATTTTTTGGACAATTATAAACCCACATTTTTCTCCTCCTGCTTCTTCTCCTTCAGACTGTTCCTCCTCATCTACTTTCTCTTTTTTCTATTACCTCCGGTGGCATAGGGAGTAAACTCCCTATACCAACGGAGGTAATAGAAAAGAGAAGAATGCCATTCAGGAAAATACTCTTACAAACCATTTAATTTTTATCGTAATTTAATTTTTCAAATTTCTTTATTTCGTCTGAAAATACTTTGTCCTCAATTCGTCTATCTCACAGCTGACCGAAATTCGATTATTTAAATTATAGGATACATGAAGACTAACAATTAACTACCCAAAATAAAAAAAAGAAAATCTGTTTAAGAGTAGATTTGAGAGAAGCTAATTCTAGTTTCAAATTTGTTGTTTTTAATTTTACCTTTTATTATCACAAACTTTATAGATCTGTTATTAATAAACATAATATTATCTGTAGAATTTATTTAATTTAATCCTTCAAAAATCTTCTATCAATTCATTAAAGTGTATTACTAATTTGAAAAGAGCTAGAAAGTGCCTTTGTCATATCAATAAAATTTTTCATAAAATTAACAATGGCAAAGTAGATCCTTATTATTCAATCTTGGTTTTTTAAATATTCTATTTTCGATAAAGAAGATTTCTGAATTAACTGAAAATGTTGGAAATGCCTAATCTACTTCTTATGATTATCACTAAATTTCGATCACAATTGAAATAAAACCAAAGAAATAATTGTTGAAAACCCCATAATAACCCATTCAATTATATAGGGCTATAAATAAACTTCTTACATACATCCCAGAAAATGGTTTATAAGCCTTGATAGTTTGCTAAATCTATGGTAAAAATAAATACTATTAAATGTTTAAATGTTTAAATATTAAATTTCATCTCTTTTTCACTTATTTCTTTTTGTTATTCTAATTGAGATATTAACTTTATTTCCATTTATTTTGGCCATCATACATTTTTTCTTTCCAATAGCCATATCTACCCTGATAATCCCACTAGATTACATCCATCAATTTCTTTATTTAACCGTAATCAGTGAAGACAAATTAAAATAATAAATAATAAAACTACTAGTATGCTTTTAAATTTCTTTTCTTTTAGTCTCAAAAATTTTCTTTAAATCTTCTCTATCTATTTTCTTCTATATTACTATTCAACTTAATACATTTTTATATAATTAAAATAAAGGCCATCCTGTAAATCAAATCATTTACATTTCTTCTATAATATCATTCGTACTTTTTATTCTAATTATACTTAATTTTTATAGTTAACCTTATTAATTGATTGTAGGCATTACTATAACCTTCTTTTCATTCAAATTCATAGTATTTTATAGCTTCCTGGATATTAGGCTGTATCCATGGATTTTTATTGTCACTGCATCCATTCCAGGTAGCTCTCCAGTTACCTAATTGTTTTTTAGATTGCTTTAAATTATTTTCCTTAAAAGTATGAATTATCTCATAATTTATAATACACTTTCTTATGATGAGTATTTATCATAATTTTCTTGAAGAATGTTGATTTTAATTGAAATTATTTGATCACAAGATAACTAAATAAGATGGATAAATAATATGAATCCTTATTTATATAAAATCTTAAATATTTCTTGATGACTTTTTGGTTAATAGTAACATTACCCTTAATTGAATGGAAAAATTGTTGATTATAAATAAAAATGCATATATCATCTTAAAAAGAATTTTTTATATTTTGTTGTCGAAATTCATGATTATATTCATTAGAACTATGTTAAGTTTTTTTAAAATATTTTGATAAAATAATTCATATTAATACAAGTTAAAATTTTGTTAACGAAGAATCAAAAAATTAAAGTTATTTGATATTAATCATGAAGTTAAAGAAGTTTATAATTGTTGTTGTAGAAAATCTTTCTTATTGAATTGTTATTTTTGACAATATCATTTAAATTATTGAATCTGGATATGTAAACTATATATTTTCAGTTTTTAAACGTTCTTACAGTTTCTTCCACATATTCACCACAATTTGGACAATTTTAATAGGGTTTAGCACAGTCATTACATAGATTAAAATGTCCACAAGGGGAAAAGAATGTATCAATCAGCTATTTTTTGCATTCTTAGCATTACAAAGAATCATTGCCTTTAGAAATAAAAATCTTTGACAGACTTGAACATTTATAATTTTTTTTCTTATGAATTCTATAAAAATCATAAGCAAAATAACTAAAAATGAATAAGGTAAAGAGTAGGAGGCATGATTATTTTATAGTTTAAATTTGTAAATATTTCTTAGTAGTTTTCAAATCACCCATGAAATGTTGTTTGAAGCATCTAACAGATTTAGTATTTTTATTAAAAATCAAATCCCCTATAACAATTATGGGAGTTCCAAACTAATTAATAGAGGAATAACATACCTCAATTCTATATTCTGTCAAGTTTGCAAAAAATATTTTATTATATCCAAATTTTTTTAATTAATTTTCAGTTCTCAAATCCCTAGTTTATACTTTTTAATAAAGCTTAGACGAAAATCGAATATTCGAACATTAGGTAACTTGCACCTTGTAATTTTGAGAATTGATTATGAGGAAACATGGGTCATTTATTTAAGCATTTTATTTTTTCAAAGCCAAGAATTAAAATTTTTATTAAATTTCAAGCGGTAATGCAGCAAAATTTTGTTATTTTGTTCTTCCATATATTATTTATTAATTTAAAATCTATAAAGTACCAGTTTCAGCTTAGTTTTGCTAAATAATTTCATTAAAAATTTATGGTTTGTTAGAGAATTTCCAATGTCTTAACAGGTATTTGAAGTTTTTTATTTAATATTTGATAACCTAATAAATTAAGGCCATTCCTCCCAATGAATATATTAGCCTTAATATATAATAATTTTTTATTGAATTTATATTTTACATTTATTAATATAATATTATGAATTATTTAGCACCCATAAACTACAATTACAAACTAGAATCAATTCAAAGAAAAAATTCTTAAGTTGGCTTTTTATTATTTAAGAATTGCAAATAATAATTATTTATTGAGCGTGTGTCTTTAGGATTTATCTGCTAATATGTTTTAAAGAATAGTAATTAGATCAATAATGCAAAAAATGAAAAAAAAGTAATAAAACAGAATGGAATGCATTTAAAGGGGTATAAAAGAATTAAAATGGAAATTGAGTTAATAAATAAATAATAAAATTGTTAAATCAGTCATTTCCTCACAGCATTTTCAATCACCTTTTTTGATTCGAACTTGTTTATTGGAACACTACTGACAAGAAGAAATTGAATTATCATTAAACTTATTTTTGAAGATCCTCCTTTTCTTAACCTTCAATGGCAAGGAATTAGTTATTGAGCTAAACAAGAATTACATCATAACTAGATAATCAATAACAAATAAAAGCTATTATATGTAAGGATTGTTGAATAAGTAAATTTAACTGATAAGTATCTTATAAATTAAACCTAATTCAATTTAACTCATTGAATGAATAACACTTTCTTTTTAGAAAGAGAATGAAAGTGACGGCTTTTTTTTTAATTTCATTTTTAAAGAATAAAAAATTAAGAAGATTTTGTAAAAATATTAATATCCCTAATTCAAAATTTGTGATTAAGGGCATTTTTATCTAATTTTTGTTTTTATAATAATATTTGAATTGAAAATTGATGAATTTATTAACTCGAAAATGTTGGTAGTCTGAATAATATATTTCAAACTAATCTTAACATGAATTTTTAAATTATTGATTATAGATATCACAATCAAATTATAATTATGGATATTTACATCGTTTCGCTTAAGTAGGAAAAGCAAGGTAACTAGTTATTTATAATTCAAAAAACTCTTTTTAATTTCTTAATTTATTATTAAATTATATATTTAAAATTTGCTAATTCATTAATTGTCATGTATCTGGAAGGTTCTTCAATTTTTTGTATTATCTTTATTCTAATAAATCGAACTTTTATACAAAATAGTATTATTTTGACAACAATATCAATTATTGTTTTTAATTAATGTATTAAGTATTTTACAAAATTGAAGATAATATTACTTTAATTTTGAAATTCATAATCCTAGAGTTAGAAGGATAATGTCTAAATAAAATTATCATAAAGCACTAAAGCATTATTTTTCATATAGTTTATTAATAATTTTATATTATTAGCTAGTAGAAAATATATCTTTTTTTGAAAATATTTAGATTGAAGCTCGAGATTTGATCTTTATTGAAAGTTTACAACAAATTTGTTAAAAATAAGATTTTTTGATTGTTAATACATCTATTATTATGTTGCTATACAAACGAAAGCAATTATCATAAGGTTTTTAGAATGACAAATTCTACATCAACAGCCATTTATAATTTACAAAGCTACACTAAATACAACTTTTTTCATAAATCTTACCTTTAATTGAATTTCTGAATCTAATATGATTCATTAGTTATACTAATTGGAGAGTTTATTAAACTATTTAAATTTCTTTTATTTCTTCATTTTACGAGATTCGGTATTTAATTAATAAATTTTGTCGGCACTGAAAAGAAATAACATCACTCCATAAAATAGAGTATGATTGAAATTATTTGATAAAAGAATAGTATAAACGATTTTAATATAATTTTCTTTTTCTATATATTTTATTGCAATATTTCATTTATTTTGATTCTTCTTGACCAACAATGGATTATAGATTTCTGGGGCCACTACTAATCCCAAACCAAAATAAGTCACAACAGAATTTCTCACTATGGGCAATAATCCGGATGAAACTAAATAAGTTTTACATACTTATTTTACATCTTTTTGTAATGGATACTATAGCCAATGTACTTAATCCAAGAAAAATAAGTCTTTAATTTTCATTTCCTAAATTTAATATATTATTTTATTTGAATTAAGTAAATCTTTCAGGCCATTTATCATATTGATTGCTTAATGGTTCATAATAATTCTTTTTCCAATCATTAAATGGAATTTGGTTTATCACATCACATATTGGTTGTTTTACATTTGCCTTAATGGAGCCTGCCACTCCTGACACAGCATCTTCAACTTCATCAACCCAAGTTCTTGTTTAATTGGACATTAATCTGAATTTTTTATTTCAATAATATTATTATTATGAAAATAAACTAAAGATCTTTAGTTGATATATTATTATATTTTCACTAATATGTCATAATCTCCTCCATCAATCTATTTATAAAGTTATTTGGTATTCAACATTAATTTAATAATAGGTTTCTGACTTGAAAATAGTTAAATTAATTCACTTAATGAATATACTAGATATAGTATAAGCAAACTCAACAGATTTAGCTAATACTGTTGATGAAGACTTAAAAGAGTTATTGAAGCCAAACCAAAATTAGTTACATAAGGCAGATAAACAAATTGAGTTTGGGTGCAATGCTAAGTTTTAGATTAATTATATATTCCTGTAATATTTAATAATAAATTGAAAATATTGTAAGAAAAAAGAGATGCTTCACTTTATTTTCAAAATTCTTGTTATATTTCACTCCTTCTTTTTCATTTATCTATCATAAGACAAATACAAATTAAAATATTCAATTAAAATTTCAATAAAGGATTGTAAGTCTATAACGATAATTCATTATTTTATTTATTATGAATAATATTGATTTTTTGATCAAATAACAGACCATTTACACAATAAAGTAAAAAGAATTTTTCAAAAAAAAAAAGCTACAAGTTGAAATTGATGATTTTCCTTAATGCCAAGTTTAGGTAGTAACTTCCCCTAATTAATCAACCAAATATATTTTGTAAATGCAAGAAGCTGATATAAAATAAATCACAAAGTCTTTGCAAAATCAATACATGATTGAAATTTTGGAATTAAAGGAATGTCGATTAAAAACTGTGCCGGATGAAATATTTAAAATGCAAAAGCTAAGAGTATTGAAATTGGAAGGAAATTTTATAAAAGTAGCACCTGTAATAGACGTGGAAGTTTTATCTTTAAAGAATAATCTCTTATTGCATTATAAGGCAGGGGAAAAAGTTAAAGTGTTAGATCTTTCTTAAAATAAATTACAAGAATTCAATTTTGGGAATTAATTAGAAGAATTATATATTATTGCAAATGAATTCACTATTTTACCATAATTGCCTTAAAGCATAAAAAAGTTGGAATTAGATTGGTTTAAATACACTGAGCCTCCTCTGAATCAAATTTAAACTTAACCTACAATAAATTTATTAACAAATCAATCAGTTAATTGCATTGACTTTTTAAAAATGTTTAGTTAGAAGGAGTTGTAAAATAAGATCATTGAGGCTTCATTAGCACAGGATTTAGGTGTCTTGAGCAGCTTGGCAGCAATTATGGATATAAATATTTAAAATGAAAACGGAGATACAGCTCTAAGTTTGTCCTTAAAAACGGACAATTTGTTTTCTGTTAGACATCTTATAGAATTAGGAGCCTAGTTGGAATTAGGAAGCTATCCTTAAGGAAATATCCTTTCTTTCTCATTAGAAAATAACTTGCCCACAATTATTAACTTAATTTTTCCAAAATTGAATTCCTCATTATTCACTTATGATGTGTATGGAAATTCTCCTCTACATTATTTAAATAAATGTGATTACGATGACATTAATGCAAAAATCATTATGAAGGCAAAATAATTAAATATTTAAATGAGCTTTAATATTTATGGCTAATCGCCTATTCATTTAGCCATATAAAAATGTAATTATTTCAATGAAATAAGCTAAGAATTGGTTGCTATCTAATATGCTAAAGCATTATAAGATTGAGGCAGATGATTTATTTATGATGGCAGCAAGATACGATAACTTGGGTGCAGTTATGCTTTTAATTAACAATAATTACCCTGTTGAGGAATTTTCTAAAATTGCCATCTGTAGAAATCTCAAAATTTACAGAGTTCTAAAAAGTTATGAAAATTATAATATTAAAAAACAGCTAACAAAATAGATGGATTCTAAAAATAATTTCAATTATGAAGTAAAATTGATTAACAAGAAAGATATATAATGTAGTAACTTTTTGAAACAAAGAAAGGCTTCAGAAGACTAAACAATTGATGAAAATTAATCTCAATCACAAAAATCACAAAATTATATAAAACTATTGAGGTAATTTGTACTATTTTAGACATTGTTATCTAAATAATAAAAAAGTTATCTGATCAAATAAATGATTTAAAGAATTTGCGAATTAAAAATAACTAAAATTGATTAAATAACAATTCTATCAGATATTTTGTTAACTTTATATTTCATTAAGGAAAAATAATTTCTAAATGAAGTTTAAAAAAACTATTTCAATATCCTTTCAGGCCATTAATACTTGTTTTAATATGTTAACTCTTTAAAAACAGATGATATATTGATTTAATATGAATAGTTTCAGTATTGATTACCTTCATTTGTATTTTATTCATAATCAATGAAAAAGTTTAATTATTATAAATTTATATTTTTTATTGTCAAAAATTATCATATAAAGATGGTATCATTTAAAATCCAAATATCTAATCATTTATTACTAAAGTAAGAATTATTTAATAAGATAATACAATATAAATCATATCTGTATTGTTAATTAATCTTGATCAGTATCTTACTATTTCTTATTTTTTTTTAAATCAGAAAGATTTCTTTTGGGTAGAAGGGATCTAATCTTTACTAACTAGCTCTCCCCATTTAAAGATTTGAAATAAGGATGAGTTTACGCAAGATTGATATTTAGTCGGTATTCTGTTAGATTAAGTAAACCTTTAATAAAATTAACAGCATGATCAGGCAAATAAGTTGATTTTGAAAATAATTAATCTTTATTTATGCAGTAAAGTTCAAGAAGGATTTCTCCAGTTTGATACATATCAAAAAAAAAATCGGGTTTTTCTTTTATGCTTGAAGTTTTTCCAAAGCTAATTAATTTTATATTATTGTTTTCATCAAACATTATGTGCTTTTAAGTGAGATTANAAAATTGCCATCTGTAGAAATCTCAAAATTTACAGAGTTCTAAAAAGTTATGAAAATTATAATATTAAAAAACAGCTAACAAAATAGATGGATTCTAAAAATAATTTCAATTATGAAGTAAAATTGATTAACAAGAAAGATATATAATGTAGTAACTTTTTGAAACAAAGAAAGGCTTCAGAAGACTAAACAATTGATGAAAATTAATCTCAATCACAAAAATCACAAAATTATATAAAACTATTGAGGTAATTTGTACTATTTTAGACATTGTTATCTAAATAATAAAAAAGTTATCTGATCAAATAAATGATTTAAAGAATTTGCGAATTAAAAATAACTAAAATTGATTAAATAACAATTCTATCAGATATTTTGTTAACTTTATATTTCATTAAGGAAAAATAATTTCTAAATGAAGTTTAAAAAAACTATTTCAATATCCTTTCAGGCCATTAATACTTGTTTTAATATGTTAACTCTTTAAAAACAGATGATATATTGATTTAATATGAATAGTTTCAGTATTGATTACCTTCATTTGTATTTTATTCATAATCAATGAAAAAGTTTAATTATTATAAATTTATATTTTTTATTGTCAAAAATTATCATATAAAGATGGTATCATTTAAAATCCAAATATCTAATCATTTATTACTAAAGTAAGAATTATTTAATAAGATAATACAATATAAATCATATCTGTATTGTTAATTAATCTTGATCAGTATCTTACTATTTCTTATTTTTTTTTAAATCAGAAAGATTTCTTTTGGGTAGAAGGGATCTAATCTTTACTAACTAGCTCTCCCCATTTAAAGATTTGAAATAAGGATGAGTTTACGCAAGATTGATATTTAGTCGGTATTCTGTTAGATTAAGTAAACCTTTAATAAAATTAACAGCATGATCAGGCAAATAAGTTGATTTTGAAAATAATTAATCTTTATTTATGCAGTAAAGTTCAAGAAGGATTTCTCCAGTTTGATACATATCAAAAAAAAAATCGGGTTTTTCTTTTATGCTTGAAGTTTTTCCAAAGCTAATTAATTTTATATTATTGTTTTCATCAAACATTATGTGCTTTTAAGTGAGATTATGGTGGGCAATATTCAATTTTTAGAATTCACTCAATAATATAATTAATTACTAAAACTTAATAAATGAAGAATTACATAAGCTATTAATTAGATTTCCTCATGATAATAATCATCGAAAAGTTAATGATCCAATTTTTCCATTATAAGATACAAATTACCTTAACTCTCATATATCTCATGCAAATAAACAATATTTCTTTATCCTATTAATTTCATAAGCATCTATATTTCTGATAATGCTTTTCTTATGTTTTTATTATTTTTCCTATATGTTTTACAAACATAAGTGTTCCCAGAAATTTTGTTTTTTACAACACACACCTAAACTAAGTATAATGATACTTCTACAGACTGTTTTTATGATATAATTTATTAGACCTTATATAATTCTGTCATTCCTCTATAAGTTACTCGGCAGTCTAAAATTTCCTTTACTTTATTCAGTTCATAATAGTTTGCAATTATTATAAATTTTCCAACTATCATCTGTCTTATCATTTAATTAGAATAGGTCCAATAAATTTAAAGATGTAAATCTATCTTAAACATGGATTGTAGAGTTGGAGTTGCAATATTTAGATAAGATCCAAGCTCTAATTTAGTTACACCATATTATGAAAGACAACTCAATTGAAAATTTTGATCCATTTATTGAATAAAGATATTTTAAATACCTTTACAAATTAATTGTTACAAAATTACTAATTCGAGAGGATCAGTTAAAAGTAATAAGAATAATTATTAAGTAAATGAAGAAATTATAATTAGAAGATGAATAACCTTCATAATTTTCATGATTTATAAATAGGTCAACACAATATTTTTTAATAACGATATTTTACAATCATAATACATATTTTTCTTGATATTTTCTAATTTTTGTAAAGGTCTAAAGAAACAAAACTTTCCAAAACTATTCAAAGACCTCATATAAACATTGGATATACATAATATATTGACCTGCTGATTAAGTTTACAATAAAACTGAAAGAAATAATAATAATTACTCTTTTCATATGATTTTTGTTATAAATCGATTGTTTATAAGAGGTCTCTAAATAATTTTGGCAAGTTTAAAGGAAATATCAAAAATATTTTATTATATTGTAATAAATAGTATGTTCAGAGATATTCATTCCTTGATTTCTTAGAAAAGAGGTCAGATTAATTAAGATATCAATTATTTTTAGATTAAACAATAACTAATATGAACTTTGAAAAAAATTGTAATTTTTCACCACTTATTAAATCCCTATTTTTTGAATATATATTATTTATTTATTTTAATTATTAATTATGCAGAATAACATTTTTTGATTGTTCAATTTATTTATAACTAAAATACTTAATTGACTAATAGCATGATTAGAAAAAATATCTGAATTTAAGACAAAAAGAGGAGATAACACATTTTTGAATATGAATACATTTATTTTAGAAGATTTTTCAAATATGTGTCATTTACTCTCAATTATTATGTTTAATTCTATAAATAAACAATGAGATCAATTACAAGAACTAATTTTTGTTTAATTTTCATTTTTTTTTATCAAAAAAAATGGTAAAATATAATATGCACATTTCATTAATATCAACCACTTTTCTACTATATCTAAGGTAATTTTACTTGATTGGCACTTTAACAATATTCTTATTCATCATCAGAAAGCGCAATCAACTCTATTTTTCTTTTTTTTCTGTTTGTACAATCAATATTTTACAAAAAATTGTTTTTTTTTTCTAAATTTTGTGAAAAATTGGTTTATTTTTATGTTTAAACTGGTTCTAAAATACCTTATTTCTTCAAGCCTAAACCAGACCCACATTCAAATCCATATTTTTTTAAGAATTTAAGACCTATACCATATTGATGGTCTTCTATTTTCTTCTCTAATAATAATTTTTCTCTTTTAGTCACTGTTGTTTCTTATGAAATGGGAAAATTTTATTGTGTAATATTCATCACTAAATATTCGTTTGTTGTTAATGGTTCCACTTTAAGATTATTTTATTTCAAAATTCCCTTCAGAGTTTTGTCTCTTACAACTATTACTTTAATGGAATTATTTTGCAACAACATAAATTATTCATCATCCTCATCATCAAAAAGATCTTCATCTTCTAAAAATATTTTTTATTTATGGATAGAAAAAGGCTGATATAATGCTTTTCTCTCTTCGAAGCTCATATAATAATCAGTATCAAAATTAGTAATTAATTATATTTTATTGTTCTCTAAATTGAAATGAACTGACTTTCGATTTTTTTCTAACTTACCCAATGCCTTACTATAATTATTATCAAATAAAGTGATTTATATATTTTAGTTTTACTAATAAAGCGATTTAGACTTTGAAAAATTTTCAAATGCTTATTGTTTCTTGACAATTTTAGATGAACTTAAAAGTTCATCTTAATAATTATAATCAAAGTCACACTCTGGGGATGTGTGATTAGAATTTTGGTATGAATTGGAAAGAGATATATAAAAATTATGCTGATTTGAATCACCAAGATCGATTACAATATCTTAATCTTTATAGTGTAAGGAATCCTAATAAACTAAATTCTAGTTCATAAATGTCTTATAATTATATATATATTATTGTTTATTAATACTAAATATAATTAATTAAACACGCTATGAGTCTTTCTGCTGATTAATTTATTGTGATAGCAGTTATTCTATCTCTTTTTGGAGGGCTAGCCTTCTATTTCATTTGGGCTAATAAATAAATGTACAAGAAGGGCCTTCATGAATTAATGGATAAGAAGAAAAAGAAGAGAGAGAAATGGGAATTTGATTGATTTATAATTGTTATGTAAGAAACAAAATATATTCAAAATTTATAACAATCTATAAATTCTTGATCCTTAGAAAAATACATCAGAATCTAATGCATGTTACTCTTTAATAAATTTGAACTAGGTGAGGGCTTTTATTTATCTAATACACTAAAGTATGGTTTATGTTCTATAAATATCACTGATGGTCAACATTTTGCATTATAAAATCATCATTTTTGTCAGAGTTTTGAAAGTATGCATCAATAACGAAAATGGCAATGGATTTTATCATAAAAAACTTTTAGTTTTAAATTTATCTTAGTGAAATTGATTATCTGTTTACCTTCTTATATCAATTTTCCAATATGGCATACTTGATTAATTCAATGTTTTTTTGCATGTTCTTCAAGTTCTGTATTTTTGATAATCTTAGATGATAATTATTGAATTCATTGATAATATAATATGAAATATTTTTAATCTCAGTTTAATTAGAGTCTTTCTCTAAGATATTCCTTAAGTGTAACAATCTTGTCTTATATATGATCTGAGATTCTGGAAATCAAATCTTGTGTTTGAACTCTTGATTAGGTTTCCATTTAATAAATATCTTGTTATTACCTACACCACTAATCTTAACCTTCTAAGTTGGACTAGCGAATAATATTTAATTGAAATACTTAATTTCTCTCAACTTCAGCAGCATGATATTCCACCTTTCCTTATGATTCTTCAATAATGCTCTAATAATTCAAAATAGCTTATTCAAGATTTTATCTTTAATCAGACCTTAAATTTGTATTAAACAATAAAAATACAAGGTATTTCTCTCGTTAGTTAAGTCAGACAAAAATTATTACCAATTCAAACTTTATTGTTTTTCTATATCCTCATCATTAGACTTGCTTTCAACTATTTAAACTCTTAGGTTGGACAACAATTACAAGACCTTCTTTGCTGTATCTGAATCTGATTTTGCTGATAATTAGGTCATCATTGTTAAGATTGGTTAAAACAGCAATCCACTTGAAGTTGATTAACTAAGATAGAAATATAGTATATACCTCTATAATCTGGATAAAACCTTATTGAATCTTCCTTTAACTTATATAAATGAAGATCCTCCAGAGAGATGTTCAATCAAAGCATAAGCTTCATCAATTGCAGCGATCGCTTCAGTGTGATCTTTAATTTTAGATTAAAATTCAGCATATTGTAAGTCTCTTTCACTTTATCCTGCATTAGTTTTCTTTGAATTCTCCTCAATTTCGACAGAGACCTCTGCAATTTTGTTTAAAGATCTTTACAAATTGTTTGTATTCTCATCAACAATTTTGCTATGAGCTTTCAATTAACTTTAATGATATGCTAAGTTAGTAGAAAAGTCATGGAGTAATCTGTTACAAGAAGCTTATGTATTTTAGATATAAAGATCAGAGTCTTTTTGCTCTTGCTCTAACATGAATCTAGGTATAACATTCTTGATACCTGATATTATTGATATAACTTTAGATTTCATGTACAGGTGAGCCTGTGGCAAGACTAATTTATATGGCATTCAAGAAAGTATTTCCCATGTGATTGCCATCAATTTCAGCAAGCACAACTTTTGGATCTGTGGCCATTTTACTTAAAGCCTAAATCATAATCGACTAAAATACCAAGCTAATCAACAACACAAGCACGACTTTCATTTTTATATATAATAAATAAAAAAACGAATTATGTTAGTACTCATATTTAATGATTTTGTCACAAATCAAGTGTAAAATAAACAAAATGACACTGATAATTAATGATACATAATTATTAAACCTATACAAAGTACAATATCAAAAATACAATAAAGACTTTTAACTAGTCAGGAGAGAGAGTAATAACAAAAGAATTAGATTTCAAATATAAAAATGAAAATTTTTACCACTTTCAGTGGATTCATACAAAAACACTAATAAAAAATAAAATAGCTTTATACATATAATATCTTAATTTAATCTAAAATGATTAAGATTTTTTTTGGAATTGGCATAATTATCCTTTTTCGATAATATGATAGTACCATTTTTTTCAATGCTTTATTGTAAAGCAAACGTTATGTGTTCTGTTTATAAAAATTAATTAATTAAAGATTTTGATGATGAAATAATTTAAGTATATCAGAAATCAGTCAAAATAAATATTTTTGTAATGAGTTAAAGATATAAAAATACATAGAAATCATTTTAAATGTTGCCATGATCTCTTCAATATTTGATCATGATTATATGGAAATCTAAATTGAGGAGCAAATCATATAGTATGATTGAATATTTTAAAATTCTCTCAAATTAAATTTCTTTAATATATAAGGAGATTCAGAAAGGTGATGAAAATTGATTGAAAAATATACTCTTAAAATAATAATTTTGACATTTAACATTTTAGAAAAAATTAAGTTTGAGTAAGATTTTGAATCTGGTGGCTTTTCATTTTGTCTATTTATTCTAACCTTACAATTTTAATTGAATTCGGATCTGAATAATGTAAGAATACAAAAACAATAGCTCTAGTTAATAAAAAGTCATCCAGATAGTTACTAAAACAGAATTTACAAAAGGCTTGGGAAAACCAACAATTAAAAATTAAAGTAATCATAAGTATGGAATAACATTAATTTCAATATATTTGAAATTTGGTTACAAAATAAAACAAATAATATTCAAATTTGTTATGATAATTCTTGCATTTTAACAATTAATGGAGATGTAGGTTTTTCTTCAATAGATGGTAAAGAAATAAAATCTTCATTTCTTTACTTGACTGATTCATCTTCACTTGCCTCACTGAAAGCTTTCTCATAAATTTCCTATAAAGTTTCAGTTTTAATTTATTTTTTTTCTTAAGTAATTCTTTCTTTACGATTTTCATAATCATAAATGAACCATCTTTTAAAATAATGCTCATCCATATATTTGATAATTTTCTAGGCTTCACTTAGTTCCTTCTTTTTAGGTGAGTCATTAAGAACAGGAGTAGGAATTTCACTAATTGATTTACGTTCTTCCTCCTCTTATTGTTTCTTAATCTAAATATTAATAAAGAAAGGCATGGCTGTGCCGAAAATCAATGTAGTAACCACAACTATATAGAGTACACAACTTTGAAGTATATTAATTTAGTTAATTTATATACCATCTGTTGGGGAAGCTACAAGAGTTTCAATTAAAGCAAAAGCAACACTTCCTCTAACCATTCCAGCAAAACAACATATAGTCATCTCATATTTTGTTAGCTTCCAAACTTTTGGCCCCTGAATACTAGAAAATATTAAGAATTTATTACGCTACGGAAATCCAATATACAATATAAATGCTTAAATATCTAGCAAGAATTACAACACCTAATTATAGTAGTGCAAAAACCCAAGAAACTTCAACATAATAAAGATCTTAAGTGAGTGGGCTATAATATGTAGTTTGATTCCACATGGCAAATCCCAAAAACACATAAAGAAATGCCTCTGCTCCTAATGACAAGGATTCAAAAGTAACTCTTGTAGTAACTCTACCCAACTAACTGATATTGTATCCTTAATAATGACTCATCATGATTCCAATCATCAACAGACTTATAACTCCACTTAAATTGAGCATTTCACAAATTGAATAACCCATGTAAGCCATTAAAAATGCGAACACAGTTTCTGTTGTAGTGCTGTTTGTCAAAAATCGACATTTCTTAAAACACCAAGTAGAAAATAATCCAACAAAAAGACCAATCAATAAGGAAATTATGCAATTTTCCAAGAAACGACCAATAAATTCGAAAGGTGTGTACCATTCAAATGATTTTCCACTTTTTTATAATATTGTGACTGCTTAAAAAATAATTATAGAAACAGCATCATTAACCATACCTTCTCCAAATACAACACTAAATAATTTAGGATATTATTGAGAAGGTATTAAATTGAGAGCTGCCACTGAATCTGTTGCACATATAGTTGCACTATATTTGATCATTTCATCATAGCTCAAAGGAAGATGTGAATCTAAATTTGTACCTAATCTAACCAATTCTATATTTATAATTCGTAAATTCTTACTCCATGAATTAAATGCTATAGTCAAAGTCAATGTGATTATAAAGTTTATCAATGTACTAAGAAACCCAAAAGAAACAATGTATTTAAAATTCTTCAGAAATTACTTCTTTTTAAGGTTGTACCCTCCAGAAAAAATAATTAATGGTAAAAGTAAGTAAAAAAAGATTGTTGCATTCAATGAAAACTAGATAATAAGATTTGAAATACAAATTATGCATATGCATTTTCATCCATCCATTTTAAAAGTAAACCTACTAGCATTCCGATTATGATCCCAAAACTTGTTTCATGGATTAAATGGAACTAAGCAATCACGACTGCATGCATACGTGAATCGATTTAAAGTATTCTCCAACCACTATGTAAATCACGATGACAATCATGAGTGCAAATGGGACTGCTCCATATTCTGACATTAATTTAATTATTTTATTTTTATTCAATACTTTCAAACTTTTAATTGAATCATTCTATAACTTACTTTATTCTTAGCTATAGCTATTGATTTTAAAATTTAACTAGATTTTTGGCATCTTTGAAATCTATATTATTGAAATCAAATATAATTAAATACTTTAACCAGTCATTGATGATGTTAATATCAAATAAGAATTGATAAATTTATAAGAATATTTTTGAAAAAATAAATAAAGTCAATAATGGTTGTTTAAATGGGATTTTTTTCATCTGAATTTTTGGGTTGATTACAATATAATCATTTATTTTTTTAGGATTTAAAACAAATTGATTTCTTTTTTACTTTAAATGTATTTTGTAATCACAATTAATGGAGCCAAGACTAAACTCAAAGATTATGGCTTTTTTACTAGTCTTTTATGAGAAAAATCAACACATTAGAATTCTACAGCAATTAATTAGCATAACTAATACCAAACCATTAAACATTATCAAAATATGATTATAATTAATGTTATCTACATCTGCATCGTCAGTTTCATATAGATAAAAAGGAAAGTTGCCTTCTGCAAACAGCAAATTATACAAAGGATTTGTTCATGATGCTACAAGTAAATTGTCAATAGGGTCAATTCCTGCAAAATTGGAACTTATAATATATCGTGACCAAAGTACAAAAGCATTTGGATCTAGTGAACCAAGATTTAAAGAATAATTACCTGATAATCCAGGCCCTTAAGAATATGAATGTGGTTTATATTCATTCGGTAAAGTTTAATCAGAATCAATTTCCAATAAAGGCAATGGAGGCTTAGCTTGTTCTTAAGAAAGATATGTCTTTGCTCCTAAATATGTAAATTCTGGTCCTGGATCTGGATAATATGCTTAAAGTTAAAGCTTTAATACTTCATAGTCAACCAATAACCCTTCATTTTTTATGAGATAATAATAATAAAAGAGCGTTGAAAAGATTGAAGTGATAAATCCAGGACCAGGAGAGTATGATTATGAAATTACTTTAGATATGATATGCCATAACCCAAAAAATCAAATGTAGTTAAATATGTGTTTATATCAAAAACCTTAAGAGGTTAATTTCAAAATAAACCTAATAACCTCCTCCTGGTTAATATGAAGTATAACATTTATTATCAAAACCTGAACATAAAGGTCCAACATCAAGTAAATCTTGAAAATATTTAGATTTTTACCCTGAAATTACTCCTTAATAATAAATTATAGCCATGATGCTTAACGATAAAGATAAATAGAATGACAAAATATTGCCAGGACCTGGTGATTGCGAAATTAAATTCCCGCTTTTTGATCCAGATTACATTATAAAAAAAGTATTATCATCTTTTGCAATTTAAACTGGAAAAGATCGTTTAGGAAAATATGAGAGAGTATAAGAACAAGAAATAATTGGGCCAGGTATTAATAATAATTAAATTTAAAAGGATCTTATTAAATTCCGAGCAAATTTGATGAAATAACAAAAGAGAAATTACTAGTCTCAGGGAATGTATTCATGTCAGAGAGTTTGAGATAATCTTATGGTGATTTTGAAAAGAAATTAGGTCCCAATCCAAAAAGTCCTTATATTTTACCAAAAAAAAAAGAATTTTCACTTTAATCTGCAAAGAAAACGGGTGTTATTATTATTTTGTTTTAATCCATTATATATTTATAATATTAATTAAAAAATGTCAAATATTGGTTATGTTATAATAATTAGAAATACTAAATCATCTACATTTTTTCTTCTCTTTTTGAATTGTATTATATTTAGTCATTAATTCTTAATTAGATCACAATAATTTGTTTTTGACAGAAATTTGTTATAATATTAATTAATTAATTCTTAATTTTATGCAAACTCCAAATCTAACGAAATTGCCAAGTCAGTAAAAGGTTCCGAAATATCGGCCTGTAGCTTAATAAATATAATCTAGTCAATCAACATAGACAATCTGATAGCTATTTGCACAGGGAAACTGAAGAACTGTCCAAATCATAAGAAAGCCCTTTATATTAGAGCATCTGCATACATAAAAAAAGGTGAGTACGAGATTGCAATATAAGACTGCAATAAACTTTTAGAATCAGATTTTGATAATGTAGGAGGCTATTATTTGAGAGGTATTCAAATATTAACAAAATTAAGGATGTGCAAATGAAAAATTAGGGTAAACTGATCTTGCAATTGATGACTTCTCAAAAGTATTACTTTTAGATGAGAATCATGTAAATGCAGCCTTTGCACGTGCATCTTGTCTAAATCTCAAAGGAGATTTTGCAGGTGCTATAGAAGACTATACTAGAGCATTAGAAAAAGATAATGCAAAGTCATTAAATCTTTCAAATTCCATTAATAAAAGATCTTTACTAAGAAATAGTTCTATGAAAAAGGATGAAAACTATCCCAAAACAGAAGCTTTTTAGTATAAAACCAAAAAAATTAAATATTAACAGCCAGAAGAAGATGATCTAATGAATCCATAAAATGATGAAGAATACTTATAAAATGATTAATCACAGATTTAAAATTAACCCTAATAGAATAGTTTCATGAGTCAAAATCCTCTTTATACTAGTATTGATGCTAATGAATTGCATATTTAACGTCCTTCTTAGATAATTGATAAAGAAATTTCACCACCTTTGCAATAACAATTAATATCAATGATTCCAGAGAATATCAAACAAGATAATAAAAAGATTTCTGATTGGTTCCACCAATAAGGATTTGATGCTAGAAAAAAAGAAGATTTCATTAAAGCTATTGAATTTTATACTATGGCTCTAATGTTTAATTCTGGTCATTTTAAATCAATATTTAATAGAGGTTAGATTATTTATTTATTCTTTAGGCTTTGCATTCGATAAATTAAGAATGTATAACGATGCAATAAATGATTACACTAAAGCAATAGAGATTGATCCTAAGAATGCATACGCCTTTTATAATAGAGGGATTTCCTATGATAAAAAGGGGGAATATAATTTGGCAATTAAGGATTTTGCAAAAGCCATTGAACTTGATCCATCTAAGGCTGACTTTTATCATAATAAAGGTTTTGCAATGAAGAAAAAAAATTTAATAAAAGAGGCTATCTTAGATTTTAATGAATGTCTTAGATTAGATAAAAACCATTTTAAAGCTTATTATAACAGAGCTAATTGTTATGAAAAATTAGGAGAATTTGATAAAGCTTAATAAGATTATCTTATAGCAAATAATGTAGTACCTAATAATCCAAATACTTTAACACATATTGGAATATTAATGGATAGATAACTAAAATTGGAAGATGCCTTGAAATATTTCAATTCGTATCCTTTTAAATTAAATTACCCTTAGTTCCTTAAAAATTGATTCCAACTATGCTCCAGCATATAATGGAAGAGGCCTCGTATTTGATAAAATTGGAGAGTATGATAAAGCTTGCATAGATTTTAACAAAGCTATTGATATTGAACCATAAAATCCTGTTTATATTCATAATAGAGGATGTTGTAAAAGAAGCATGAATAAATTTGATGAAGCCTTAGAGGATTTTAAAAAGGCCTTATCATTAGATTCAAAGAACCCTATCATCTATTCAAATATGGGTTTAGTACTTCGAAAAATGGAAGATTATGAGACTGCAGTTTATTGCTATTCTCAAGAGTTAATTTATTTATCAGAAAACACAAGAACTCTCAATAATAGAGGATATTGTCTTGCTAAATTAGGTTAATTTGAAGAAGCTATAAGCGATTATACAAGAGCAATAAATTTAGATCCAATCAATATTCATGCTATCTATAATAGAGGAATTTGCAATGAAAGAATTGGAGAATTTCATAAAGTAAAAATTACATTAAATTAAATTAGGCTATTGATGATTTCACTTAAGTAATTCATTTACAGAATGATTAAGGTGCTAATGCATACTTTAATAGAGGATGTTGCTATGATAAGTATATTATTTTTTTTATTCTCATAGTATTGGGGAAATGGATCTTGCAATAGCTGATTATTCAAAAGCATTAGAAATAGATAATAAGACAAATAAAACAGCTTGATAGTTATACTAATTTTTTACTATCTTAGTTTATCACAAATATTTTTGAATATAATAATTTATTCTAATTATTTTAATGAATAGGTAAAGAAAACTAACAAATTTCGAAGAATTTAGACAAGATTACTTTGATGTTATTGCTGATGATAGAGCAAAACTTTTTAACTTCTTTTTTGAATATAATAGGCAATTTGGATTTATTAACTAAGAAGATTATGTATAGTGCACAGCTGCTTATCTAAATTATAGGGCTAGAACTAGTTTAGCATTATTTGGAAGTCCTTTGGTAGTTTTTATTGCCAATAAAACAATATTCAGAAATTTTTAAAGAATTCCTGTTTTTAGACCAGCAGTCTTTTCCATTAAATACATAGGAATACCATTATTATCTTTTTATGTTACAAGTAAATACTTTTGCTAGGATACTGAAAAACTATTTTATGAAATGGCTGAAAAATATCAATTTGGATTTTATCAATACAATTAAGCAATGGATCTTTTAGAAAGAGCTCATAAAGCAAATAGATTAGATGAATTTATGGAAAAAGGAACATCATTTGATTGGACAGGAATACCAGAATTAAAAAAATATTGATAATTTATTATAATATAATAATAATCCCTAGATTTATTTTTTAAAAAATATAAAAGATTACTAAAATTGTTTTTATATATAAAATTAAGAAAATCTTAAATTTCTTTAAACAAATTATACTAAAAATTTAGAAAATAAATTTAAGAATTACTCTAAATTTATCGATAATTGCTTGAATAACAGACTAATAGGTATTTTTAGGTTCATAAGTGTAAATCCTTTAAAGCCAATAAATTATTCATAAAAATTTGATCTTTAGTTTTGTATATTGCAAAGAGTAATTTAATTATCACTTGATATTCAACTTAGTATTAAAATGTTTGGATCAATTATGTATACTTATATTAAAGTAAACTAAATTCTTAAATTTAAATATAAGTAGAAATAGAGTATTATTTTTTTTGCCTTTTAGAGATGGTATGCTAAAATGAATATCATTTGATAATAATTTCTTAATAATTAAAAGATGTATAAGAATCTTTAAAATAGAAATTATTAAGAAAATCAATCAAATATTTATATATGCTAATAATTCAAATATTATTACACTATCATGATTTGAAGTAGAATTATAAGGATAATGTTGGAAGTTATTAATATTATTGAGTTATAAAAATTTAATACTTTTTGGTTAACAGATAAATGAGTATTTTATTATTTTATGTCAACTATTTTGCCTTATTTGATAAATAAAACCAATAACATTTTATTGTTAAGAGGAGATGTTGGAAAAGCAAAGCCCTCTGTATCAGATCTACCTGATTCAAGTTATTATTATGGTAAAAAGATTAATAGAGATGGAATTGGGATGAAAGAAATTACATCTGATTGGCAATATGGAAACAGTTCACATCATAAAAAGTCGAAGACTGTAAAGTTGCCAGAAGATACATTTGTTTATGGTCTCAGGAACAAGTAACCACAATATAATAGGGTAGACCTTCAACTCCTTTTGGGAAAGTGATTAAAATGAACTATGGAAATGAAGCAGCAGATATTATCGAAAATCTATATCGAATGAGGAGTTAACGAATTCCTAAAAAACAAGTAATACAAAAGAACAGGTCATATTCTTTGAGATTAGAACATAATACGAAAAAAAAAGAAGAAGAGCATAAAGAATTTAAGATAAAGAGATTTTTAGAAATAAAATCGAAAATATATTAATTATGATTTCTATATTGAGAAATTAACAATTGAATTTTGTTAGCAGATTCTTCAAGACCACTTTGTTATAGTAGCCTGCTATGAGAAGAAGAACAATAACTCCAATATTCCCACCACCAGGATACAACTTAACTATTCCAGATTGGCCAGTTGAATAGTTTATGTTAAGAATAGGAAAAGGATGTTCAGATTATGCAGATAAATTTGAAAAATTGACTGAAGTATTTGAAGCAGATAGAGTACATTGATATTTATATGTAGTTTTAAATGAAAGAGAAAGGCATTCCTCCAAAGGTGAGAAAATATATATTTTCAATCAAAGAGTAATTACGTAGAGGAGTACTTACATTTGAATATTTAGAAAGGAGAACATCAGTCACAATACCAAAGAAAAAGGCAACAAAAAAATGAGTTTATATTATCGTATAGGTTTTATTAGCAAACAGTTATTTAGTGGCATCATTAATTACTAGAAATTAAATTCTAAACTCTAAATATAATCTCAAGATATCAATCCACTAGTTGTAAATTGTTAAAGTGATATACTATCTCTTATGAAATTGGCTACTTAAATATTGCCTTTCGCAACCCAACTTCTATTTAGTTTTAATAAATTCTAACTTCTCTTGAAGTGATAATGGCTTAGTTTTCATCCATTTTTTACTTTCATAAGATACTGCTAAAAGATTAGCCAAAATATTCCAAGAAACTCTATAAGCATGATAATTTGGTTTAGTTTCTCTATTGATATTAAATGCTTTCATTTTTTCTACTTGAATCTCACATACTCTATTAATCTACCATATTTTAACTCCTTCAGCACTAGCAAATGCAATTAATTGTAAGCTTTTTCCATTTTGATTGCCCATTATACATCATTTATAGTTTCCTCTTAATCAAATTCATAAATCTTTTTCATTCCAAATTTTTAATACTCATATTCTAACATTCATATAGCCATAGTTTTACTCCATTAAAATGATCAATTTATATTTTACTTAGATATTTTTATTATTCTGCATTACCTGCAGCCACCAACATCTCCCTTTCTAAAGGAGCATGATTCCATGAAATTGCTCTTAATCAATATACTATCTTCACCTTCCTTTATGAATTAATTTTACTCATAAACTCTATGAATTATAATTTTCCATCAACATATGCTATAGCCAATAATAAACCATTTGATTTTGAACCAAATTATATGTCAGCTACAGCTTCCTTGCTCTCTAAAATTGTTATTCTCTATTTCCATTATATTAATATTTATTTCTATCCTCTTGTAAGAATTTCTCTTCTTCCCAAACTTCCCAAGCACTTACACCTTTATCTTAAGAACAAGTAGCTATCAATTATCCGAATTTAGAATCTGCCCATCTAATCTTCCAAATTGGACCATCATGACATTTACAATCAGCACTCTTTTTCATTTTCTATTATAAATGATTTCATTTAGTTACCCATTAACTTTGTTGTAAACTCTCATTGTTTGATCACTTGATGCTGTTGCAAATTGATTCCCATCAAAATAATAAGCTATATCATGAATAATATCTCGATGAGTAGTATCAATTAGCATTATATTAATTTAACGAATATGATTAAGCCAAAGAAGTCTTCACGTGAACTATGGAATCAATTGGGTTTACGAAATCATATTAAACAAGCCTTTGAAGAAAAGGAAACAACTTGGGGTTAGATCGTTGATTCCAATAAGAAGAATCTAGTAATTCATTAAAATATATTAAGAGCTAAAGATCAATGTCAGAATACACAATTGCCTAAAAATTAAAAGAACAACATAATTCCTTTATCAAAAATAAAGAGAAACCTAATACTAAGACTTTTTTAGAGGATTAAATTGAAAAAGGGATTTAAGATAAAGATGAATGGCTGTAATTGGCATCAATAAATGAAAAATCTCATCTTTCACCTATAACCAAAAGAAACTCAAATGATCAAACCTTTTCTCCCATTAATAGACTAAAAAATGAGGAATAATAAGTCAGTCAGCAATAATCATTCTAAGTATAAATAGAAAAAACTAATATTTGTAAACTACCAGGTCATGAAAATAATTAATATAAGTTTATATGTATAGATAATGAATGTCCATATAAGTTATAAAAAGCATGTGCTCATTGTGTTATAAAAATGCATACAAAACATGTTAGCCAAATGAAAGAAATTGAGAATTATGAACACTTAATTGAATAAAATATTAAAAAAGCTGACGAATTAATGGATTAAAGTTAAGAATTATTTAAAGCAATATAATAGCCTTATGAAATTTATTTCCACTAAATTAAAAATTAAATTATAACTCTGATTAATGATCTTTAATAAAAATTGTTATAAATTAACAAGGATTAAATTCAAAAAATGATAAATAATGATATTGAAATAGTTTAGAATTATAATTCAAAGTTTGAAGCATATAAATTAATGAATTAATTAATACCAAATGAAATTATTGAAGAGTATACACATATTATTAATGGAATATCAGAAAAAATTAAACTAAACATTAACTTTGATAATATTAACAAATAAGTGGAATCCTTTATAATGTCAATCTTTTGTCCTAAAAAACAAAAGGAAAATAAAGAATAAAATGATGATACTGAACTATTATAACAATTTATATAGACTAATAGAGATTCAAATAAGGAGTCAATTTTGAAACCTAATCATTCTATGACTTGTTGTTCACATCAATCCCCTTTACAAACCAAAAAATAATTGCAAACCAAACTTGTTATGGGATCTGCATCTCCTTTAAATGTTTTTAATCGTTAGATTAATGGAAGGCAAGTTACTAAAATAATCTAAACCTAACCAATCATATATTATAGAACAAACAGTTGAATAAAAATTAAAGACTTTGATATAAATATATATATATATATCTATAATATGAAAACTATATAGATTCAATTATTCAACTGTAATTTTATTATAGAATTCATAGGATAATTTTTAGGAATCTAAATTTAATTTAAAATATTATTCACTTTCCACAAGTATTTGATATTAAAATGAGGATTGTTACAGAAATTACATAAGGGAAAGAGTATTTTAAAGAATAATTATATTTTAAGTTTATATTACTAATTAAAAGATATAAATAATGTAAATAATTCAGAGCAAAACAGTGTAGTAATTAGTGCATCGTACACAATACAATAAGATTGTGTGGCAATCATCAAACCCATACAATAAGAGATGGCAATACAAATTTAAGAATGCTTACTATACTTACCCAAGAGATATTAATTAAGAGCATACATACGTAAAAACACCAAAAGATAACTGGGAATCAGTACCACTTGGATGGGCATGGATTTAAGATATATTGCATAGACATGTAAGATTTACAATTTCAATTTTAGGTCCCAAATTTCTCATGTTTAATTGAAAGAAGACATAGATTATTTGATAAATTCAATGTTTATTTCTTACCTGCATTTAGTCTCTTCTGTTATCAATTTTATCCTTTAGCATTTGGATTCAAAGTAATAAATTTCAATTAAAAATAGGTTTTAACAGTTTTACCATTAGCTATGTTATATGTGAGAGCAAGAGATAAATGTGGTGATCCTGATTTTAAGGAAACTTATCTTAGAGATATGCTTTATAAGAATAATGAGATTAATGCTCTCTTCAAAGAAGAAACTATTCATGTTCTAGATTACGATTGTGAATATGACCGTGGCTATCCATGTACTGAAAAGTTCCCAGAATTCAAAAATAAGGTAAGGATTAAAAATAATCTCTAAGTTTTGGTAATTCTTTAACACTGATACTTCAATGACAACTGGACATTTCAAAATGGCTGATGTTGAGTCTGGTGCAGTTATGAATTTGAAATTTAAGACTATGCCTGTTCCAGGAAAATATAGATATTAAATTGGAGAGCCATTTTATTTCTATGATTTGAGAGGTATTTAATAATATTTATTTTAAAGCTGAAATAACTCATAATGGATAACACAAGGAAGTTGTTTTAGTTGATGAGAAAGTAGCTTTATAAAAAATAAGACCATTTTTATTAATTATTTGAAAAATAATATAAAAATCAATCTAGCATATTAAAATTATATTCAATTTCATTACTTTATTATAATTTTCGATATGTATTAGCTATGCTTTATTTAACTTTTTCAGCTATTTATTTTTAATTTTATCCTTTATCATTTGCTTTTAATTCTGTATCTTTTTTCAATATTTGTTAAGGATTTAATGATTTTTACTCTGTCCATTCAATAACAAATTCATACCACTATTAATCTCCTATTACTTATCCAAATAAAGAATATAAAACTAATTTCAACTCTTGAACATCTGATAAATGTCTTTTATTTTAATATATTTTAAGTATTCTTGTCTATTCTTCCTTCTAAAGTTATTCAAGTGATTGTTAAAATGAAACTAATTTTTGATTAGAATCTTTAAAATTTATATTACCTTCACTAGGCATATTTTATAATTTAAAATGGGTTTCCTCTTTATTTTATAAATTTACAGATTCTAATTCTTGATTCTCCCATTTAATTACATGGGCAAAAGATGAAGGATTCATAGGATCTATACCTTAAACAAACACTGGTTTTTTTATAGAAACCCCACCTCTTTTAAGCATTGTTTTTACTTGACTTTTCAATTAAGAAACACTTACAGGTTATGTTTAAAATAGACATTACTAAGATTGAGTACTTTTTAAATTAGTATGATTATGGTTTAATTTCTAAGATTGTAATCTAGCATCTTCTATATCTATTTCTAATTATGCAGCTTTAAGAAGATACTATCTTGATTAATCATCTAAATATCTTGGAAATTATTCAACTTTTGCATTTTCATTGATTTTTTTCATTTATTTAATTATTTGAACTAATCCTTCAGACATTAATGATTCATTTGCCTCTTAAAGTTGTTTTAAGAATATATCTTTTAATAACATCTTACATCTTCTTTTTTTTTACCTTAATTCATCTAAATCTTTCTATATCACTTATAATCTATCAGTATTTCTATGCATTTCATCTTTTATTTATGTAATAAATTTTTATATATTTCTAATCTCTAAATCTCTCTATTATCTAATTTTTTCAATAATCTCCATCATATTTCGTTTTTTTCCATCTTAATCAGGAACATAACCTAATCTTGCTTTTTCTTCTTTTCCATAATATTTCCTTCTTATTTCACTTATTTCATCCTCTTTTTTTGTTGCTTATTACACTAATTTATTATTATCTAATCTCATTTAATATAGGATTTATTTGTTTTCTTTTATTTAAACTTAGAATTACTAAAATGATTCCATTAATTATTTTGCAGTTGTAGATGTTTATTATCCTGTTTATACAATCTCCACTTAAAATTAATTTGGAGGTTTGTTACTGTAATATTTTGCTTTTGATAAGACTATATCGTAATCGATGTATTAAGCAGGATTGCTAAAATATTCAGTTAATCCTTTAAAATTATTAAGTGTTGAATTTTTTAATGCTTATGATTAATCTCTAACTACTTATGCTGTTTCTTCATCCATTTTTTAATGATTCCAATTTGTTTTGCCTTTTCTGTTAATTTATAAATCATCCAACTTCTTTGTAACTTTTTATAATAACAATGAATTTAAGATATGTTTATTCATTTCTATTCTAACTTAATCTAAAGTCTTCATAACAGGATTATTTGAATCCTTATTTGATCTCAACAATTAAAATTTGACTTAAACATTAGAGTTCTACTCATCTTCTAATGATAAGTTTTTTAACTATTATTTATCTTATGTTTTAAGAATTGAATTGATAATTGCTTAATTAATTTAAGGTCCTCCATCATTAGAGAACTCGTTCTCCATGAATTTATTGTCATTTTACTTAACTTATTCAAAAGCAAATGCTTTTTTCTTTGAAATTACTTATTCATGCCATTAATCTAATTATTCAAGTAGTTAATCTTATTCATCTTTGCTATACCTCCTCATTTATTTAGATGAGGATTTATGTATAGATTCAGTTGCATCTCCTAAGTCTACAACATTCCTCATTTTTATAATTTTTCTATCTCATAAATATAGTTTTCCTAATACCTTTTGAAATAGGATCAGCTTCTTCAAATTAATTGACAGATCTCTATCTAGGAATTTATGTTGAGGGTTTCGAATCAAAATTTATTGGAGAATGTAAACTTGAACGAATTAATACATTTTTTTTATGCAGTTTCATTAAAATATATATAAATATAAAAGAATAAAATAAATTACAATTGATGATTACTAATTTAATGCAAATTCAAACAATACATAATTATTGAATAAAGATATAAAATATAATTTAACAAGATATATAGAAAACAGAAATACAATTTTTCTATTTTATTATTTTACATTTATATTTAAGCAATATCAAATTAGATTTTAGTATTGCTTAATAATACATTTAGATTTTATTGTTACAATTTTATTTCCACAACTATTAAAGAGAAAATTTATTAAATTTTTTATTACATTATAATTTATAATTTAATTTATAATCTTGTATATAACTTCTAATTTTATGTTAACGAAATCATATGTTTAGTATTTATTAACCTAAAATTAATTTTTCAATCCTGAAATAATAATAAAATAACTTCAAAGATTGAAATAAATTCCAATATTTAGGTTAATTTTTGAAAAATTACAAGAAATTCTTTCAGTTTTTGTTAGATTTAACTATTTTTTTTTTTATTCATAATTTGTAATCTTAAAATATAATAATTAGATCATCATGTTATCAAGAATATCCATAATTAAAGTAGATAAACTCACTTAAAAATTTAATGATATTTTTTATTTGAACGAAATAAAAAAAATAAAAAAAGGATTGAAAGTTTTGATAAGTCCAATTTCCCACAATAATTTAGATGAGGTATTCTGATACTTTCGTAATGATTTCTTCAAATTCTTAGAGTTATAAGTCTCACTTAAAATGGTAAAAATTAACAAATTTAATAATCAAATTAATAATAAAACAATTAAAATTCATATTCAATTAACAATTAAACATACAGTAGGATTATTATTGAACTTTTTCATTGTTACTTAAATTTAGATATTTTTCAATTATAAGATTAATAAATGATTCATCATCAAGTTATATTCTTCACAAAAACTATTCTCTTATAATTTATTTTTGAAACCTCTAACATTTTATTCTATGTTGATTTTAATTAATTTTTTATACAAAAAGTATGTTTTTTAAACTGAGATTTAAAGTTGGATTTTTATACAATAGATAAACATGATTCATTAAATCTTGTGTTTCTCAATAGAAAGCATAAATTTAGTGAAGATGAAGAAATTCTGTAATAATAAAGATGATTCGCACAGTACTATTTTTGATGAGTTTCTTTGATTGATTAAAAATTGATAGTTAATATATATATAATGAAATCACCGAATTATGAAGCTATAGAGCTACAGGGTAATCCAGTTTCACGAGCAAATGAAGAAGATGCTATATAATAGCATGGAAGACTTTCTCATTTGTTTTAAACTTCTCCACAAAAAAGGAATAATCTTAGAAGAAAGTCAACTATTCTTGGAAGTTCTAAAAAGAATGCTTTTGAAAATAGCAGAATTACAAGACTTTATTTTGAAAGATATAGGGTTTTAGAATTAGGCAGAATGTGGACAATTTGTGCAAGTATTGTTCTTATGATCCTTGAAGTAATGGGTGATTTATTATATAGTATGAAGTCTCGTTTGCCTATTAATTGAAAGATATATACCAAGAAGAAATTAAAACATTGTTATATCTTATTCTTTTCCTCACAATTATATCTAGTATATTGATAGCCTTATTTAGTTATAATGACATTAATGGCATATTTAGCAGAACTTGAATTTAAGAAACGCTCTCTTACAGTACCTAATGCTTCCAATATATTTTAAACTAATCTCATCTTTCTTTTGCTAATTGAAACAACCATATTACTTCCTTGTCCAACACCTTATACAATATAATATAAAGTTTCATTTTCTCAACGATATTCTGATTAACCGAGATTTTATTTCGTAAATGAAATACTTACTTTTGTAATGCTATTTAGAACCTTACTTATTTTGAATATAGCATTTAAATTCCAACCTTTTTATTCTAATAGAGTAAATAGATTATGGTATTTAATAATTTCATTATAGTGGCATATATTAAGTTGAATTTGGTCCTCATTTCATTTTTAAAGTAATGATTAGAGAACATCCCTATTCCACTCTATTTGGTCTTTTTTGTATTGGAATTTTCTTGTTTTCTTACTAGTTAGAAATTTCTGAGAGATCATTACTAAGAACAACAACTGAAATTGATCATTACAATATAAATAATTCCCTATGGGTTTGTATGATTACTATATTTACAGTTGGGTATGGAGATATCTACCCAACTACTGAACTTGGAAGATTAGCTATGACTTTAGGTTTATTTTATGGTGTAGCTTTGACATCACTTTTTACAGCTATACTTTATGCTGATTTATAACCATTTGTTTCAGAATTAAGATCTATTACTTTATTAGATAAAACTAATATAAAAATGGATATTAGATAAGTTGCTGAGAGAATTCTCTTAAATTTTTATAAATTAAATACTTACCTACATAAGTATCAAGTAAAAAATAGTATAAATGATCCTGCAACTTTGAATAGAGTTAGTCAGATCTAGGCTCTTCTTTAAGAAGGATAGTAACTTAAAAGGTATTGATATATTACTTATTACAGAAATTATCGATCAATTGACAATGAGGATTTTATTGCTATGACTGATAGATATTTTAAGGATATGAATAATAGAATTAAAGATTTCAGAGATATGTTATAAAAAATGAAATATCAATAATTATCTATCAATAAAAGCGAGACTCCAAGAATGAGATCCATATAGAAGTAATGTCATACAATTACTGCAGCTAGTTATGATGTAAAAAGCAAAGATGATCAATATTTTGAATAGTTAATTGACTCTGAATCTAATAATTAATAACTTATGTAATTTAATGATGATGAATGATAGTTATTATACTGAACTGATAAAATTCAATTATTCATATATATTCTTCTTATAAAAGTCAAATTATGATCAAAACATTATACTGTTTATTTCATATATAATTTCTGTATAATCCATTAATTTTAAAAATTGTTGCAAATTAATTGATCTTTTTGTTAACTTAAATAATCAAAACTTGAATAATTAAATGATTAATTCAGAATTTACCTAAAAATTTGGCCATAATTATAAACTTATTTAGTTACTTATAATTTGTGTTTAAAAACCCTTCTAACTCACAATTATATATCTAATGAAATTGTTGATTAACTATAATTCAAGATTTTTGATATGTTTATAAATAAATATAATAAATTTAGGATTAATGAAATATTTTTCTAAGCTTATATCCTTCTTTTTAACAATTGGGTGTAATACAGAAAGAAGAAAAGCATAAATTGATTATGGCAATATGAGTATGATTGTCTTTTATTTTATCTAATTGCTTGGTTACCTATATAGTTAATTTGAAAGCAAATCCATCGTATTTTATGAGAATGATTATTTGGCTCAAATAGGATAATATTCCTCTATCCCATTTATGATGATAGTCATACATTATGACCCATTTACAAAGGTTATGTACTATTGTATTTTTGGAATAATGTGTTCTATTTATGCAGGAATAATTTTTTAAATTGCATTCAAAGTATTATTGATAATTCTATACTAGCCATTTGCTACAAATAATTTTGTTAATAGATTTATAAGATTTTATTTTAAGAACTTTTAATGGTATTTCTTAACACCTTTTCATGAATGTATGATTGGAGTATTGACTTGTGGTCGTTTAGCATATTTGGCTTAACATGGCAATCTAGACCCAAAAGAATGTTTTTCTTTAATTTCATCACACTTTTTAGTGATTAGTATTATAGGGTAAGTACTCGTTATCCTTTCAGGTTTTTTATCTTTATACTGTTTTAGAAATTATGAATTTGTCTAAGGAGATTTGATGAGAAAATTTAGTTACTTTAATTTGATAACCATCTTATTACATATGGCATTATAAATGTCATCTTTTTGGAAGGAAATGTATGATAATTACAATTTAGTAATTCATTCAATATTCAATCTAATTATGATAGTTATTGCATTAGATACATATTTTAATATACCTTTTGGATTTTAATAAGAAACAGTCTTTTTTAGTAAATGTTTGTGGTGTGCATGGTTTTTTGAAATTTTAGTAGCTGTATGGATATTTTCTGATTTAAATGATGGTCATATATTCTTAACATTTTGCATTTGTGTTCCTGTAATTCTTATATCTATTTTAGTTGATATTTGGAATCAATCAAGTACTCTATGATAATTACATTGATAAAGAATGTTAAATATTTTTTAAATCAAAAACTATTAAAAATAGTGAACATCCATTAGAATTTATTTGTTAATTATGTCATTTAGAGAATATACATCAAAAAGATTATTATCTATTATTAAAATATTTAGGAATTCATTGTTAAAATTGTAATGATTTATCATGTCCTTGTAAATAAAAGTTAAATAAATTTATTTTTGGATCAAACTAACTTAACACATAATAAATTTATATTTGGGTATAACATTAATTTTAAAAAATAATTAAATCAATTTTATAAAATCCTAATTAATTTTAATACTTTGAATAACTTACAATTAAATTTGTTACTTTCTTATAAAGATACAGAGAAAATTCAGTTTTATCATATAAAATTATATAAGATGTTGTTTATACATTAAAAAAAATGAAATAAGGTAATATGCCTTAATTCTTTTTAAATTTAATTAATTAAATACAACATTTAAATAAAATTGAAATTGAAAATCATAATAGAGCAGGTATATAAATTGGATCTTTAGAATTTCGAACTTTATAGGATTTTAATTTATTTTATAATTTTGAAGAAGAAATTGTTAAAAAAATTATTGAATTGTTACTTTGTTAAAAATAATTATGGTTATAAAAAATGAATCATTCTATTTCTTATGATAAAATTATTGAATTTTCATAATAAATAAGAAATAAAACTGAAATATTGAAAAAAGAATTTCTAAATTTTTAAAGTTAAAGAGAAATTCCAGCAATTGATTCTATTTTAATATTAAAAATAAAATTAGTAGTAACATTAGTTTGTATGGAAGATATTAATAGTTGTTTAAAGATAGCTTAATAAATTGAGTGTTAAATAAAGGAACAAACAAATTCTAAAAGTTCATAATTCAACAATTTATAATTTTTAAATGGGTAAGCTTTATCAATAATATCTAATGTATAATCTTAAACTTTAGGATATATTACTTAAAATATAAATGATTAATTTTGTGAATTTTTTGGATATTAAAATCTAAATATTCCATTAACTAAAATAGAATAATTGTTACCAATTAAACTTGGTAGAATACATAATGGTTTGATTGAATCTTATTTATAATTAGGAAAGACAAATAGATTATATGCAAATTCTGAATAATTTATTTTAAATTCAGATAATTTGATTGAAAAAGTTAATATATGTCTTACTGCATTATTTCCATATTCAAATGATTAATATTAATTTTGGATTATAGGACATTTATTAAAAATGGTAAAATATGAAAGAAGAGAAATTGATTTAAATAAAAGAGGATATATTTTGGTTGATTCTGATTTTCTAATATTTGGAATAACAAGAAACATATATGAAAGAATTAATTATAAATATTATTACAAAAATAATACAAATTTAGATTTGATTATGCCTGAAGAACTATATGAATAAGTTGCTATATAAGAATTAATTCCATCTTTATCTTAAATATTAGAAGAATATTATAGATTATTAACAATAAGAAATAAAAAAAGAATATTTAAATAGGATATAATTTGTTAAAGAGAAATAGGAGTACTTTCAATAATATCTTAAAAAAGAAATTAATTTAAAACATCTTAATCATTAACAACAAAAAAATATACAAATAAATAAATGATGAATACTTTAAAAGATATTAATACTAGTATATCTAATATAAAATCTTAATTTTCCAAATTATATCCTATTGAATATAGTGTTGTTTAAAGAGTATTATCTTATTTAGAGAAAGATTAAACTTGTGAATTTCTATATTTTGTAATAGAAATTGATTTTTTAGAAGATCCAAAAGTAAATGCATCTCCATCATAATAATTAGCTAAGACACCAGCACTTTCTGATATTTTAAGAAGATAATAAGCAACTTTAGAATAGATTAGACCTAATTAAACTAATATTATACTCTCGAATGATGGAGAAGATTAAAATGAATAGATAGAATTAGTAGCTGAAATGACTAATACTGTTACAAAACATAGTTCAAATGAAATTAATGAGTAATTAGAGAAAATAATTGTTTATATTAATGATACAATAATACCATAAACAATAAAAAATTTAATAGCTCATTTTCTAATTTAAATAGTTGTATTAATAATAATAATAATTTTAATATCTAATTTATTTTCAAATAAAAAGAATCTTTAATCAGATTGCATATAATAAATAACAGCTGATTTAAATTTTTTGGATGCATATAGTTAAACAATGTCAGGTTCTAGACATGTAATTTATTATAGAGATTTTTATCCAATATAAAATGATACAATAATTCCATTTAATAATAATGATGAAATAAATATTAGTAGATATGATAAGATATATATGGCTTGGTAACATATAGCAAAAGGAAGTGTTAGACTTAATAATATGTATTCAAATTATAAAAAAATTGCCATGAAAAGTGATATAAAAAGTATAACTATATATTTTATAAACTTTGATTTGGAGAGTAAAATATCTTAAACAGTATAAGATTATTCTACTTATTATTAAATTATGCATTAAACATTTTTTATGTCTTATTAATCATTTGCATCATCACCATAAACATATTTATCAGGTAGAAATGATACATATATGACTTAAATTGCAAGATCATAAGTTTATTATAATTTTTTTGATGTAAGTGAAAGTGCTAATATAACTCTAGAAGATTGTCATAATTATAATTATGAAATGAATGATCATTTTGATAAAATAGTTAATTATTATTTTGTTGGATTATATTTAATTATTAGTTTATAATTAACAGCTTTGATTATTAATTATTATAAAGTAGTTCATACTATTAAACTCTATCTTAAATTATTTAAAATGTGTGATAAGGATGATTGTATTTAAATAATACATTAATGTGATTAATTAATAAGTATGGTATCATATAATAGAATCTTTTTAAGACAAAAAGATTATAAAATAATATTGAATTTGCCTAAATTCATAATAGATGATGTTAGAAAAAGTTCAAATAAAGCTACAGTTGTATTTGTTAAAAAAAAAAGAATAAATGAAAGAGAAATCTAAGAAAATTCTAAATATTCAAACTATTGTTCTATTGTTGTTATTATTTTAGTCTCATTATTTATAATCTCTTATGTTTTGGCTTTTCATCTATATTATCTTTAAATAACAAAATCAATTGGACCTATTAGTAATAGGGCAATTTTAGCTTAAGAAAACAGATTAAATTTTATTGTAGCTTCCAATAGATTTGATTTATTCTTAATTAAATAATATTTTGAAACTTATGCATTAATTAATAAAACTGATCCAGGTCATTAACTAATGACCAAAAATATTTAAACTGATACTTAAATATTAAATTTATTATCTATTGATGAAGAATTAATTTTAAAAGATATCTCAAGATTAAAGATGATAGATTTTACAAGTTTAATTCTTAATGGAGATCAATAAAATTCTGAACTCACTGATGAACAATAAGATTCACTTTTAGGTTAAGATGTATGCCTTTTAACTGGTTGTGATATGCAAAGTCAATTGTTATATGATAGACTATATTAAAAGGAATTAGTTCCACTTTTTTAAACTGGAGTGGTCAATCTATAATCTAAAGTATTATCTTTTGTTGAAGGAGCTTCTTAATTAATTTTTAAAAATTAA